CGAGCAGTTGATAGCGTTTCTCCCCCACCGACACTCACATGGAAGGGAAAGGTGTGATCAATGCTTCGTTTCCCGTCGCTCAAGTTCCAATTTTTACACCATCTTCAACTTGGACGTTTTGTCCAACCAGCATGGTCGCGCATAATCTGCCTGACCTGAAGGAAACCCCCCTTTGTGGTTATGTGCCTATTGTTCATTCCATTTGCAGTCTACGAACACGGGAATACATATCTGTTCAACTGGTGGAATCGTTCGAGTCCCCCCTCCTCGTTTTTCTCTCACCCTGTCTCTTAGGCACATCCATACAGGCAGCGGTGAGATTCCATACGCGCAATATGATTGATTGTTCATCATTCCCCACTCGCATTTCTATCACTCCCACGCCATGTCCCTTGCTCTTTCTGCAACTCTGGACACATCCAGCTACTTATTTGCTCATAAGCGCCAGTGTGCAACGCATAGTCTCTTCTCCAGTTCAATTTCGATCCGATCGTTCGTTCGTCACACATGCTGTTAATCAGGTTCCATCCAGTTCAGTACCGATATTAGCAACTTGAGAGTGACAATAATATCAGTTTAACATTTCACTTTACCGTGAATTGCTCGGTCCATCAGCGTCGTCCTGTGAGCATACCACACAAACACACACGCACGCACGTGCGCACAGACAATTCTTTTTTCCTTTTTGCACAACCGTGATTTGATCTTGTCCGTTTGGTTTGTTCCGCGTTGTTTTGTTCTCTCTGTGCGTGCGATTCTACAGTCGGATCAGATCATCGGATCCCGTCCATGTGTGCCCGGGCGTGTGCGGTCTTCCTCGTTGTTTCCTTTTTTTTACATCTCTCGGTGGTTGTGTGACTGATGACCAAAGGTTTCTCCTTATTGTTCGATCAGTCCGTCTCTTTCTCCCCTTCATTCATCCATGGGTCTTAGCTTGTTTACAGCCCTTCGTCTGTCGGTCCCCCTCTTTGATCTACTCACCACCCACACCACATTCCTT